TGGAGATTCTACCTTCCTCCAGGCCCTCTGGATCTAGGTTGCCTCTTGAAAGCTTGTAAGCCAGTCACTTCTTGCCTTTGTAGCCCCCCGCCCCCCATTTTGGGTAGCCAATGTCCAAGTTGCCCATCCCTTGTACATGTTTCTTAGTTCACAAAAATTTGCAAGCTTCAGAATAGTTGACAAAACAAGGAACACTCATGTAGAAACTAACAAGTCCTGGCTGCTTAAAAAAAATTACATTTTATTAGAACATCATTTTGCAAAGTATACTCTAAGGGTCCCAGTATTTTGCAAAAAGAAAAGAAAAGAAGATTCTCTTTTGGGAAATGCTATATATTATATCCCTCCTTCCTTAGGAAGTGGACTTCTGGTGTTGTGCTGTAGGATCAGCACTGGACTGCAAACCACAAGGTCAGTGGTTCAAACCCACCAGCTGTTCCTTGGAAACCCTATACAGGATCACTATGAGTCGGAACCAACTCAACGGCATTTCACAACAACAAACCTTAGAAATTAGCAATTCACACCATTATGTTAAGGGAGTAGATAAGTTTTATAGTAAAGAACCTCATGCATCTTTTCTCAACCTACCAGTTCCCAAAGTGCTCTAACCAAAGAACATTTTTTTCTTTAAACACCTAATATGGCGCTGTAAGATAGGCACTGAACAGCTAACCTAAAGGTCAGTATTTCAAACCAGATAGCTGCTCCTTGGAAACCCTATACAGAGTCACTATGAGTCAGAACTTAACAACAATATGTTTAAGGAGTACTGTTGTGGCACTACAGAATAAGCAATGGACTACTAAACGCAAGGACAGTGGTTGAAACCCACCAGTCACTCCTTGGAAATCCTATACTGTGTCACTATGAATTGGAATGGACTCGATAGCACTTAACAACAATATGTTTAAAGCTTATATTACCTAGAATACCCACTGAAAAATCCTGAATTATCAGGGTGGGGTGGGGTGGGGAAGGTTATTTGAAATAATTCAGATAAGAAAATTAAGGAATAAAACAGGATGGCAGCAGTAATGGTGGTGATGACAGACATTGCCAAAATAACCAAACAAAAATTTAAAATCAGTTAACACATGACTATGAAGGACATAGTAAGTTTTTACAAAGTGATTCTGGCACTTACTGAGACAGACAATTAGGAAGGTTAGAGAAAAAAGTGGATCTTTTTCAGATGCTAAAAGTAAGATGATAAACATCTAAACAAAAGTGTACATAGGACACTTGGACTATAAATGGGTGACTGTTTCAAAGGGACAATAATTTCTTTTGTATGTAATAGGAGACATTAAGAGGTCAGAACTGAAATTACAGGACTGATACTAGCTGAAAAAGTTAAAACCTCAAGAATGGATGATGGGTCCCCTCAGAGCAAACCCCATTCCAAGACTAAGACTCAATGGGAATACACACTCTGATTGGTGACCACGTTTGTCACCGATAAGGGGAAGTGAGGGACAAACAGCAATGAAGCTGTGAGCTAAGCCCTACAATGTTCAACAGACTCCTGTGAACCTGGGTGGAGATCTGGTCGGCCAGCAGTGTGGCAAGACCTGAGGACTCTTGGATCCAGAGTCAGTGACATAGCCACAGAAGACTAGCATGGACAGTAAAGCATCCATCTGATAAGAAGAAAGGGCATATGTACAAGAACACCCACACTTGCAGATAATACCCACTTGACCTGGCGTCAATGACTGGATGATCAGAGCTCAACTAGAAGAAAGAAGAGGGGAAAAAAAAAAAGTAATCTAATACAATTTGATGAACTTGACCTATACCTATGGATGCAGTAGCT